AAAAAAAAAAAAAAGAACAGATAAAGTAAAGGAAAAGAAAGATGATTCTGACTGTCTGCTAAAAAGAAGATACAGAAAAACTGGATGAGAAAAATCTACACTAAAATGCCTGTGTAGACATGTGTGAGTTAGATTTTGAGTTGTGCTGAATTTACTACAACTGCATAGCTGATTGAGTTGGAGCTGGGTGGATTGGAGATAGCTCAGGTACATGGATCTTCAAGTTCATAGATAAAATTAGAATAGTTTTTATAAGGATGGCTATTAATCAGTAAATTGAAATTCGGAACCTTGATAACTGTATTTTGATCAGAATATAGTTTAGACAGGATCTTACTAAGAAAACTGATTATTTTGTTATAGCCATCCCAAATACAAAGTTATCAGTATCTCTGCAAGTACAACAGACTGTGTGATTTTGCACAGACATAAATCTAAAAGATTTAAAAAGCACAGTAGAAGATTCAAAAGTCATTTTTAAATACTTGCCTTATCTACATATGCTTGAGTAAAACTAATACTATTAAAGTAAGATAATTCCATTTTTATAATTATTATCAACATCTTTAAAATTAATTTCTCCACGTCACTGCCACAACCTCAAATCTGCAACATCCACATTACTTAAAGGACACAACCACTACTTAAGCCTTCAGCAATTAGAATGGAAAAAATCCATTTCCATTTTACTATTTTGGGTGATCTCCTGAAGCAGAATATTTGAATTATTTATTGTTGCCTTGGTGTACACAGCCTACATATCCACCTCTTATGTTTATTGCCATTCAAACAAATTCTAGATAGCATTCAAGTTTAACCACAGGTTCAGCAGTTATTCATAAAAGCTAAAAAGGATAAAAATATAAAAAGGAACTTAAGAAGTTAGTTAAATAGATTCTAGCAGAGTTTCAAACTTTCAAGGTAACACTGTGTGGATTAACATTTTTGAGTGGTGCTTCATTATATTAAGATACTCTGAACTTCATCAAAATTATACTTAAAATGTTTATAAAAATGAATATAATTTATTTTTGAAATCTTAGTATTTATACTGTATTTTCTCATCCCATGCTAATGGCACCTCTTGAGCAAAAGGATTAGAAACAGCAAGGGATCTTGTTAAGAATATTACGTCTGTCACTGCAGTCATTACAAATCTGGCATTAACAGTGTCCTCCTTCACCTGCTGGGTGCTATTGAGGCAAACTCCCCAGCAACAGCGCTGTCCTTACAAAGGCCTAGGCGTGAAATTACTTAAAACCAGATTGACAATGTCAAATATTAGGTTCTTAAGAATTTCTTCTCACTTCTCCTTTCTTTCAGAGTGCATGTGTTAGACTCAATACTTTCTCTCCACACCTGCACTGCTCCACACAAGCACCACCAGTCTCACCCTGCAGGCCATTTTGCACATGTACGACCATCTTGAGAAACTCCTTCCTAATCTCCTTCCAAGTGCAGCACATCATATCAGCTGTTTTTAGTGAAGTTATGACAAACTATGTACACTTACCTTGGATGGAATACATCCAACATTCAGGCACGTTCCCCCTAACGTTGGATTTTTTTCTACACAGACAGTCTGAGGAAAAAGAACAGAGGAAAAAAAGAATTTTTTAGCAATACTATGCCACTATTTCTTTATAGGCTTAGAACTGATGACAAAGACAAAGGCAGTTGTCTAGTAATTCTACCTCTACAAGTGTGTGATTAATTTCACTCGCAGGTTTATTTTGTGGCTCATATTTCCCTTCCCTCATTTTTTTTCCTAACCTAAAACCCACAAAATAGTCTTTGCAACAAAATTCTTTGGTACAGTGCTGTCTTATGGTATTCACATTTTCATATAAGTTTAAGTGCTGCCCTACTACAAAAACCTACAAAGTAAATAATAAATACAACAATCAGTTCAGTAAAAGATGTTCCCCCAACAATAATAGAAAAAAATGCAAATCATGCAAAGATGTATATAAACAAGAACATAAGGTAAGTGAACTGGCATAGATTTAAATCCCATGAAGCAATCTTTTCTTCAAAGAAAACAAAACGGAACAGAACACCCAAGCCATAAACAACACTTCCTCCTGTGAACACACTATCCTGTAAGGTTCACTGATATAAAGTTGTGCCAACACCTATAATGAAAAAAAAAAATCAAGTAAAGCAAAACCAAACAAAAATAAGGTCGATACCAAGAGGGATAGAAAATATTTCATCTCCTTCTGATTAAACTGACAACATCAAGGTGTGCCAAGGACAAAAACAACTGCCAAAACTTCATAGAGAAACAGAGTATTTGGAGAGAGAGTGGGGGAGAGAGTATCATAAACCATTCTTGCAGAAGCAAAGGAATTGGCATTTTCTTTGGAAGGTACATGTATATTCAAAATAATTGTTTCTTGGTTTACCCTCTTAAGAGCTCCAGCCTGCTGATAGGTAGTTACTCAGGTGAAAGCCGTTCATAATTTCTTTAAACTGCTGTTTTTGTGCTAAGGTAGGGATCATTGTAACATGAAAAGCAGAATTCACCGAATCAAACCACAGGAACATTTTGAGACACGCTGATCTCCTACCTCCCCTTCCTCTTGTTTTAAGCACATGAATGCAAGAAACATCACGTAAGGGCTACAAAAGCTGCATCATGGATCAAACAGCACAAGACTGCTCCTATAAGGATGCAATAAGGACATTCTGCCTCATCCACTTTACATCAACTTCACTGACCAGACCAAGCAAAGCTTTTGCAAAGTGAATACCCAGAGCACACTGTCGGCAGTAACAGAAGATGCCCGTGGTGGTGACATGTAGACTTGATGCTTGTGCTAGCAGAAACAGCATTAAAACTGGAAGTTAAGTAATTCAGTAGAGAAGAATCAGGTTCTTCCATGGATGGTGTAACTATATAATCTTTTTACCAGTCTGCTAAAAACATCTCATATTCCTCAAGGACACCAAAAGGATCATACATGCTTATTCACTGCAGAGAATTTTCCCCTCTCTGACTAGCTGTGAAATAGTGTTAACAGAATTATTTTTTGCTATGATGAAAAACAGAGTCTAGGACACTTTTCAACCCCCTTGTGTATGGTATCCTATTGTTAATCACAGATATGAAGGACTCAAGTACAGCATTGTTTCAGGAAAAGCTGGTATATAGCCAGCCACAAAAATCACATTAGAATAATCAAACATAAACATGGCAGAAGGCCACAATTTTAATTAAAACCTGTAGCATTGAGCATCTTTTTTTTTGTCTCAACCACTACTAGCTCAGTAACAAAATACATCCAGAAGCAAGCGTTTTTATTATGACAAAAATAACAATTCACAAAGTTGTCTAAAGACAACTCAATTGTTTGCACTAGGTCACAGGCAGATGAACAACTTAATAGAATTTCAAATGTCCATATTTGGTACAGTTACATTAGAAGGCTAAAAGATACCCAAGAACATGTCACTGACACCCACTTGTGGGAGTACAGACCAGTGAGGGACAACACTCAGAATTACAAATTCAGTTCGGAGGGACCTCCTCTGGAGGCCATCTAGCTAAACCTCCTTCTCCAAACACATTCAGCATCAAAGGCATTGAGGGAGACGCTTCTCCACTCCACTCTGCTCTGGTGAGAYCCCACCTGGACTACTGTATCCAGCTCTAGGGATCCCAATGCCTAGAGTGACAGACATGCACCTGCTGGAGCAAGTCCAGAGGAGGCACCAAGTTACCAYAGGGCTGGAGCACCTCTACTATGAAGAYAGGCTGTGARYTGGGACTGTTCAGCCTGGAGAAGGCTCTGGGGAGACCTTAAAGCAGCCTTCCAGTACCTAAAGGGGCTTAGAAGGAGGCTGGAGAGGGACTTTTCACAAGGACATTCAGTGACAGACATGGCCTTAAACTGAGGGAGGGTAGATTTAGATCAGCTCTTAGGAAGAAATTCTTTACTGTGAGGATGGTGAGGCACAGGAATAAGTTGTCCAAAAAAGCCATGATGTTCCATCCCTAAAAGTATTCAAGTCTGGGCTGGATTCGGATGAGTCTCTGAGTACCACGGTCTAGTGGAAGGTGTCCCTGCCCATGACAGGGGAGCTGGAACAAGAGAGTCTTAAAATGACCCTTCCAACCCAAACCATTATGTGATTCTATGATGAATCAGGTGGCTCAGGGCCTTGTACAGCCAAGGTACAGATGAAGACTACATGCTATATATAGTAGCCTATTCCAGTGCTTCACTGTAACTCATCAACAGGAGTTATTGTCCTTACTAGGTGATGAAACCAGCTAATTTTGGTCATGAACACTTATTTTTCATAACTCAGGAACATTGAGACATATCAAACAGTAGAAACACGCTCAAGACTACTAGCACCACCTTCTCAGAGTTCCAGATAATTAAGAAAATAATGCAGTGCCAAGAGAGTCAGTTGGTCTCACACTAAGGAATGAGGCCAAAAAAATACACTGCTTAAGTCACATTCTGTATTTTTGTAATTTTAAAAATATCTGAAATATATTATACACATACAACTCCCACAATACTTAATGAAATGACTAGCACACATCAGACATAAACTGCCTCTTCAAAAAGCATTCAAAGACAACAGGCAGAACAACAGAGATGAACATAAATAAATGTAACTAAGATACTATAATATTTCTACACACATATTTTTGCATCTAAAATTACCACATGGGAGTGGAATTCCTCTACTCACACTTAAGAGGCGTATCAGATGAATGTGGCTTTTTCCCCTTTTGAGTTCCCTCAGTCTGTTTTCCTTTGCCAGTGGTGTTTCTGTCAGTCATTGTCTCTTTATCTTTCCCTTTGTTGAGAGAAAAATTCCTTCCTAGCACTGTTTTCCCACCTTCTCTTTCACAAGAGTGCAAGCCCACCTCAATTATCAGTTCCAAGCAAAAGCAAGCTGTTCTGAGCAGCTGTGTCAGTAGCAGGGCTATAGAGAGTATTACGGTCACATCTCCAAATTCTGTATAATCTGGGTAAGCAAGGTAAGGAAAGATTAACTAAAGATGTCAACAGCATCTGGTGGCCTAAGATGGGACAGAAGAATTACAGCATCACACAGACACCTTTCAAGTTCACCTGGATGACTGTTCTGCTGAATGAGGTTCTCACCTTAAATCCAAGCTGCGCTGCTTTGATAGCAGCGACGTACCCTCCAGGCCCAGAGCCGATAACCGTGACATCGGCGTCAACTGAAACAGAAAACATTTGACTTTTTTTTTTTTCCCAGCAAAATAACTTCATGTTAAGAATTATGCAAGTTAATGAATTAGGTCTGGAAAAGGAAGTTACATCTCATATCTGAAAATAACTTTCTGGACAGGGGGAAAGGTTGTATAGAGGTAGCCATTCCACTAGAAAAATAACCAGTCTTAAATTTCACAAGGAAAATAATGTAAAATGACAAGAATAAACTGAATTCCCCACCCCTGTAACTCAAAAGCCTTTAAGAACTTAACCCAAGATGTCTTGATAGTTTATTGTAACGTTTTTTCCAACACAGCTTCTGTTGATGTTTAGCACAAATATTAAATGTTTACCCAATGCCACAAATTTATAAAGAAGAAAATATGGCTGCAATAGATATCTATGCAACCTCTATTGATCATAAAGCAGTGGAAGTGATGAACTTTGTACCTAGTTCATATCTTGTAACCACAAACTCCTTTAGAATATTAATTGACATACGAACAGTGATGGGAAAGTTCAACTTTTATTTACACCTTTAACTTGAAATCTAATAATGCAAATAAACCACGATTTTTCATCTAAATCTCCACTCTGACATGGATTTCCGCTAGACAACTGATGTCTGAGTTTGAAGTATTGCTCAGTTTTTTGTAGGGGTTTGGATTGGTGGGGCTTATTGTACAAAAGAGTTTTTTCATATTAATTACCTTGATCGGCATAGGACCTTTGTGGCACTGCACAAACTCCCTGAAGACCATGATGAATCCGATCAAAATGGCTTCTCTAAAAAGGAAAAAAATGAGTTAATAAGTTAAAAATAAGTTAATAAGTTTTTAAGTTGATAACTTAAAAATAAGTTATAAAAGTTTATGCCTATCCTTGAGGGAGAACAAGCAATCAGCCATACACAGATGAACACACAGTGACTGTAACCAGTTAACAAAAACAGGAACAGCATGACCGAAGCAGACACACTGGGCACTGACTGGAACAAGAGGCAGAAGTTGCTCTGCCACCTACCTGCCCTGTCACCACAGTCTGTCATCACACCTGTTCTCAGGTCAGACTCACCTCAGGCTGCCGCTAGCTACACAACTTTCAACTCTTTATATGGGGCTCTCAAACCACAAAATGACATAAATTATATGTCTCCACAGGCGTTTATGAAGAGTCTTGTTCTGCAACCATCCCCTTCAGCCACCTCCTATGTACAGGCAGCTATATCACTCATTTGTATCTGTATCGAGCGGGCAAGTTTTTTTAACCTTTACGAAAAGGTAATGGGACAGTACAGAACAGCTGCTACAAGCATATGGAAGGCTGATCACCCTGTAACTGGAGTAGCGGATGTCTGTGGGAGCATTTGCGAATTCCCCGTCTCCGCAGCCCAAAAGCTGGGCCCGGCCCCACTGACAGCGGCGCTTTTCGCAGCCACCACGGCCGCGGCCTCCTGCGGGCCGGGGCTCCGTGGGACCCACACCGACAACCCACACGGCAGCAGGGAGGCTGGTCCCTGCTGCTCACGGACCCTGAGGGCCGCCCGGGCCGCCGCGTCCCTTCCGCCCGGCCGAGAGGTGAGGGAAGGGGACAGCAGAGCAAGGAGAGGAGCGCAGCCAAGGCCCGCGCCCGCCTCAAGGCGCCGCTCCGGCCCCGCCCGCCCTCATGCACGCCCCTGGCGGGGTGAGGGGGCTAAGGAAAGCCCAGGCCTAAGCTACCCGGCGCGGCTCCCGACCCTGATCCCTCCCCTCCCCTTCGCCTCGCCTCGCCGCCCCGCCGGGGCCGTACCCGAGCGAGCGCGCAGGAAACGCGACCCCAGCGCTGCATGGTGGCGGTGCCGCCGCGCCCCGGCCGCTCAAGGACTCCGCGGACGCGCGCAGGCGCAGGCGCAGTGCGGGGCGGGGCGGAGCGGCGCGGGGCGGGCCCTGCAGCCTCTGGAGCCTCTGGAGCCTCAGGGCTGGGAGGGAGCTCGGGGGATGATCCTGGGGGGTGATCCCGGGGGATGATCCCGGCCAGCCCACACCGGGCAGGGCCACCTGGAGCAGGTGACACAGCGGCGCAACCAGGCGGGTTTGGAATGTCTCCAGACAGCGGGACTCCGCGACCGCCCTGAGCGGCTGTTCCAGTGCTCTGCCACCCTCAACATAAACCAGTTCTTCCTCATACTGAAGCGGAACTTCTTGTGTTTCAGGTCATGGTCATTGCTCCTCATCCTTATGCTGGGCACCACTGCAAAGAATCCGGCAAATCCTCTTGGCACCCGTCTTTGAGATATTGATAGAATCAGAAAATCATAGAGTATGCTGAGTTTGAAGGGACCCATCAGGATTCAACTCCTGGCCCTGCACAGGACACTCAAATAGTCACAGTGTGCTTGACAGCCTTGTCCAAACACTTCTAGAACTCTGTCAGGCTGGTGCTGTGACCACTTCCTTGGGAAACCTGTTCAGTGCTCCACCACCTCCTGGGTGAAAAACCTTTTCTTGATATCCAGCCTAAACYTCCCTTTACTCAGCTTTATGATGTTTCCTCAAGTCCTATCACTGATCATGAGAATGAAGAGATTGGCACCTGCCCCTCTACTTCCCTTCATGAGGATATTGAAGACCACAATAAGGTCTCCCCTCAGTCTTCTCCAGGCTGACAAGACCAAGTCACCTCCTCATACAGCTTCCCATTCAGAACTTCGCTGTATTTGTTACCCTCGTTTGGGTGCTCTCTAATAACTCAGTGTCTTTTTTTTATATTGTGATGCCCAAAACTGCTCCCAGGATTCAAGGTGAGACTGCCCCAAAGCAGACCAGAGTGGGGCAATCCCCTCCCTTGCCCAGATGGTGATGCTGTGCCTGATGCACCCCAGGACCAGGTTGGCCCTCCTGGCTGGCAGGACACTGCTGACTGACATTCAACTTTGCACTTACATGTATTGATAAGATCCCTTCTCAGGCTCCCCTTGACTAAGCAGTCCCAGCTCACTCAGTCTCTCCTCTTAAGAAAGGTGCTCCAGTCCCTTAATCAACCCTGTGGCCTCTGCTGGACCCTCTCCAGCAGCACTTTCTTTCTCTTGTATTGAGGARCTCAGAACTGAACACAGCACTCCAGATGCAGCCTCACTAGRGCCAAACAGAGGGGGAGGACCCCCTCCCTGGGCCAGCTGGCTATCCTCTTCCCAATGTACCCCAGGATACTATTGGTCTTCCTGCAAAGGCCCACTGCAGCTGCCTAATCAACTTGAAACTGCCAAACCAACTGCAAAATCAACTTGAAACTGCCAAACCAACTGCAAAATCAACTTGAAACTGCCAAACCAACTGCAAAATCAACTTGTCACCCACCAAAACTCATAAATTCTTCTCAGCAGAGCTGCTCTCAAGTAGATCAGACCCCAMTCTGTGCTGGTACTTGGGAGCTCACAAACCTACCTGGCACCAAAATGAACCCCGGAGTGAGCAAAACAACCCCTGGACCCACATTGACTGCATCAGAACAACACCTGGGCGCAGATGGAGAAAGGGAAATTACATGTTTTAGACAGAAACCTCTTCCATCTAATTGACAGTGAAATGCACATTTTTTTTAATATTAAAATATGCAAAATCTGAAATACTTAATTTTGGAAATACTTTCAGGTGACTTGGAATAATTGAAATTTATTTAATCAGGAAAAAATTGAACTAGAATATTCTTGAGAATATTCTCGAGCTAGAACATTCTCTAGAAGAAAATTCTTCTTGAGAAGAGATGACTGAGAAAGGACCTCATCAATGTATACAAGTATCTAAAAGGGGGTGCCAAAAAGATGTAGCCAGGCTCTGCTTGGTGGTGCCAAGCAATAGGATAAGAGGCAATGAGCAGAAACTGATGCAGAGGAAGTTCAGCTTGAATATGAAAAAAAAACTTATTTACTGTCAAGCTGACTATGCACTGGAACAGATTTCCTGGAGAGTCTGTGGAGTCTCCCTCACTGGAAGTATTCAAGAAMCTTCTGGATGTAATCMTGTGCAATGTGCTCTTGAACAATCCTGCTTAAGCAGAGAGGTTGGACCAGATTACCYACTGTGGTCTCTTGCAATCTGACTGATTCTGTGATTCTGTGCCAGTGAAATGCACATAAATTCAATCTTTAAAATATAACATATTTGATTTTGGAAAGACTTTCAAGTGCCTTGGAATAATTGTTCCCTATTTATTTAATCGAGTAAAGAATTGAACTGGAATATTGAGACATTTTTATAATAAATATAGTTTAATTTAATGCTCTTTGTATTTTTCTAGAACTTAGAAAAATATCCTCTAGAAAATAGACTGTGTTCCAGAATAATAAAATGCATACTCTAAAATCCTCTGCTATTTACACTTCAGCACACCGTTATTTTAAAACATAAATCCTTCATTGTCTATGGGAGAACAGAAATGGACCAAGACCATTTTCCTTCTTCAGTGAATTCTACCTAATTTAGAATATATACAATAGTCTGTTCAATTTATGCTAAAAACACTTAAATGTGGCTTTAGGTAAGTAATATGCAACATAGGTCATAGTATTGATTGCTCACGTTGCCTGAAACTGAAAATATTTTCTGTGAAGAAGAGTTCCCAAGTTTTCTGCATGTACTTTCTGATTCCTTGCACATGTCGGTATTTCCATCAGGGGGCAGCGTTCTACTATTTCCCACGCAGCCAGGGAGAAAGGGAAGGCCTTATTCAGTGAGCAGAACTCCCCTTCTGTCTTTCTGCAAAAGGATCGCTCTGATCGGCCCTTCAGCATCCCTGGAGACTGCATGTGTCCAATATTTTTACAGTTAAACCCCCTGTTGGTCAGAGCATGGTGCCAATCATGGCAAAGTTGTGGGTTTGGTCCCTGTGTGGGCCATTCACTTCACATTGGACTCAACGATCCTTGTGGGCCCCTTCCAATTCTGAATATTCTGTGATTCAAATGAGAAAGCATCCCACAGTACCTGATACTCGCAGGTGTAGTATCATGTCCCCATCATTTCCTCCCACCCTCACTAATGAGCCAACCAAAGAGGATAAAACCCAAAACTGCTCCAGCTGTAGCTAACTGGAAGTCCTCAGTCAACACGTTTTAAGTCTCCATGGCTTTCCACCAAGCCATGGTGCAGGTTGGGTACCAGAGGTCTGCCCTCTACACAGGCAGTACATGAGTATTTCTAGGGAAATTATAGGTTTTTTTCAGACACAAATCTGAATACCATGAGCATGCTGTTATTGCAAGCAATGAACAAGACCATCTCCTGTGACAAGAAATGGCTGGAGGCTCCAAATTATGGTTACTGTGGCCACCAAAGGGAAGTCAGCTTGTGTGGTGATTGCTTCAGCACCCAGGGGTGGCAAGAGGGTGTAGGGGGCCTGGAGGAATGCAGGAAGCATCAAAATGTGTCTCAATGGATGGGGACAATGGGAAGGCAAAGAGACACATGGGGAATGAAGGGTTAAATCCCTCCATCCCATTTGCCTCAGCCGTGGTAGTCACCTCTGAACAGCCTTGCCAATTAACTGCATATCCCTTGGGGTCATGGTGGCTGGGACCAGTGTTCTGAACCTTCCTGGGAACTCTGCTGAAGTTTGGAGATTGTAAAACCTCAAAAAAGAATTTTAACATCTCTGAGTAATAAAGATCATAAAGACAGTGGATTGCCTGTAGAACTTGGTACTTGTAAACCATGGACACCTGAGTACTTTTTGTTCTCTTGCTCCTGGCATGACTCTGCCTCACCTTGCCTTGGTTGTGGCACTCCTTCCATGAACACTGAGGTTACAGCACCTGTTTACACTCCCACTTTTTATTGTATCCATGAGTGCTCACGGAATGTCCCCTCACAGCAAAGCAGGCTCCCAGGATTCCAGGTGAATCCAGGTGCCTTCCTGGGAAGGCACAGGCTGAAGTCAGCAGAGGGCAATGTGGCTGCATAGACTAACAGAGCAGCAAGGATGTTTTAGAGAGAAGTATTCTATTTCTTTGAAATACTGAATACTGTCTTGTATTAAACGCTGGAATTCTATGTATGTATCCATGCACACATGGTTATTTGTACACATCAAGATTACCAGTCTAGAGAGGCTATTACACTGGAATGTATAATTACTTTAGAAAACAGAGCTAAAATATCTACCACATTGCATTCAAGGACTGGATGGTGGCCATCAGTGTCTTGTGCCTTGCAAAGCCATAATTAACAAAACACATTTTCAGATTAGTCTTACTCTCTTTGGTAAATCCTTTTGGTAAATTCCTCTCTTTGTGAGAGGGGGCACCGTGGCAGGGCAAAGTATATTAAGAAAGAAACAGGGGTGGCATTTTCTTCCATCCTTGTTCAAACAGGACACTTCAGTGTTTCCCAGACTGCTCAATTTATTGCTCTGCATAGAGAAACTCCCTATCACTCAGGCAGTAAAGCAAGATGAGCAGTGCAGAGAAAGCTACAGCACGTCAATGATCTCTGAGGTTCTGCATAAATATGTGGGATAAATAGGAAAGAAGGTGAGTGAAACTGGACCAGATGCAAAATAGCAGCATACCTCAGATTCATTGGAAAGACAGGACAAAGCGTATCAGGAGACCTGTGGTATGTGTGCTGTTCTGCAGGTATTTAGGTATTTTACGAAGATCTGTGGCTCCCAAATGTCAGCAGGAGAGTTAAGCAGTCAGGACATTCCTCTGCTCTCTAAAGGAGCACACGTAGGCAAGAAGGGGTTCTGGAGCTTGAAGCATTTTCATGCCAAAGAGAAGTTCAATCACAATCACAGACCCTACAAAGGACGCCAGAGCTGGTGCTAGTGACAGAACACACTTGGGTTCTCCTGCACCGCCTGGTGAGCACAGAAAAGGGCACTGGCCCAAGCTGAACCATTGCATACTSAA